AGTAGTCCCTAATTTTGAACTAATAGACTAGAGGGAAAGAAGCCAGTCAACAGTACCCACCAGCTAGTCAACAGTATCCACCGTTAACCATAGGGCTACTCTTAGCTAACCAAATAGTAGAATTTGAATCACTTTTATAACGCACCCACTGTCAGAAAGTGCGAGACGCGAACCATAAATATTAGGATTAGACAGAGAGATTTTGGCTCATATGTCGATTTATATAAAAAAATGTCGTAAGAGAAATGATAAAAAAATTAAAACGTCATTACCAGTGTTCAAATCTAACATCATTATCAATGTTCAAATCTAACAGTTAAGTACGTGGTAAAAGCTGAACGTTGTAAATGATTTCCCAAAGGAAAACAGACGATTTTCACACAACCTTAGAGTTGCGCTATGAAATTTGGTTTCAACAATAACGATATTAATATCGAAACATTAAGTGAGGTAAGGAGGGTTATCTGAATGGAAACTATCAATTATAGGATTATCTTGGCTGTATAACTAACTTCCCAACATTTTTACCCTTTTAAAGCTATCTTTATCTCTTTGATAATTGTTCTTTACATTTCTAATAGTTGAGCATTATATTGAACAATATCCAATAATACAATATTATACAACTGCTGGTAAAATTATTTCTTGAAGTTAATCAGGCACTGCAATTTTATGGCTGTAAAATAGGAGCATACTTTGCATATAAATAGTTCAAAATATCATATTTTCAGTGTTTCATTGCACGTGTCAATCCGGACGGAATGTACGATTATCGTAATATCTTTCACGACTAATAGATGGCACTGGCGTTACGCCTTCTTTAACTTCTGCGACAGAGGTATCGCTTGAAAGAGGATTATCACGTTCTTGGCTTTGCGCGGAAGATACCGATGGCTGCTGAGAAACGAGGATACAACTGCCTGTGGCTTGTGAATCCTGCTCAGGACTTGGACCTTCTGAAGAAGACGAGACTGGAAGCTGATTCACGAGCGCATTGTTCGGTACTCTCGACGACAGGTAAGAAAGACGGGCAGCCTCTAGGTCTGTGTACTCGGGTGGGGGAACCCCAAATATCTGTTTAGAATGGAATTCAGTTCATTTAGTGCATTACTTTGTATTGTGATAATAAATATATAGACCTATTTATACTGTCGTGAACGTGTTCTCATTACTGCATTCAAACCTGTTTAATCTAATTTCAAGAACAAGTTTTCTTCATATCACTTGAAATTCGGTACCAGATTGCCCTCAAGTAAACAACTGGGTCAAAAAATTAAGTGACATTTGTATCAAATGTCTACTCACATGCACGTCTTTACCTATATTAACGATTCAGAGTGGTATAATATAGTTACTTTAACGGTTCAGAGTGGTATAATATAGTTACTTTAACGGTTTAAAGTGACACAACATAGTTACTTTAACGGTTCAGAGTGGTATAATATAGTTACTTTAACGGTTCAGAGTGGTATATCATAGTTACTTTAACGGTTTAAAGTGGCACAACATAGTTACTTTAACGGTTTAAAGTGGCACAACATAGTTACTTTAACGGTTTAAAATGATACAATAAATTT